AAAACACCGAAGAAAAAGCCAAAATTGTAGCAAAATACCTTCCAATGACTAAACAGAATATAAGTGAGCCAATAAATTAAACTTACTAAAAATGACCTGGAAATCACTGCTGCACCGTTAAAATATGAGGAACAACTACACATTTTATGAACGCCACCTCTGCAGGAGAACTAGGAGAATTACCCACGGTATTTTAAGGAATAATCAAACAGCGCGACTGATAGCGTTATTGCTAGTTAGAGGTTTCGACAAAGTCCAGACTGCTTGCCTTGAAGCGAAGAATAGATGATGGCGTGAATATGCAATGCACCGACGAAAATTATGTTGCAGTTGAGCAACATCCATGTCGAAATCACCACATAAGATATGGTTTTTAAGTTAAACTTGTATGTGAATCTTGCTGCTAATGTAAGCACATGAAAGAACGCCTGTCTACTGACTAAGAAGGCATGCCCTTTTAAAAGGCGATTTTTCCTATCGTAACATTTTTCAACATTATCACAACATCAATACAATTATCAAAATAATGAAAAACGCACAGTTTAAAACTTGGGGATGACTAAAATTTTGGTGTAAGTTGCTTGCAAAATTACCAAAATTGATGCCAGAGTAAATATTAAAGAAAAATTTTTTAAATTTTTTTGATGCATGGTGAACTGTTTATAATGGTTGGTATGAACCCACAAAAAAACAAAAGCCTTGCCCATGCAGATTGTTTATAATTTGTTTTGTTTTATGGCTAGTGCATTTTACTGGGTTCAAGTAAATTATTTTGAAAGAGCGTCGTCAGCAAAGCTTGCGCAGTTGTTCGTTTGTTTTGCCGTCTTGGGGTTCAACTCAGATCACGACCAACAAGCCCGTTTGAACCATGTTTTGTGAAGAACTCAACGCCACGAACTGAATTATTTTGTTAGACTGCTATGTTCTACTTTGCAAATAATGTATTAGGGTCCCCATTTATAATACGCCTCAGTCTATACTTTCACTTACTTTTAAATTGATAAAGTTTGAGAAGTCAACCTTAACCTATATACATATCATTTTTGGATACGAGGCTTTAATTAAGGCGGCTCTGAAGCCACCTCTGTTGCCTAACAATAAGCCGGACAGCATCTGATTTGATTGATGATAGCATTGCGTGAGTGGTGCAGCGCTTACTGGTGTTTTCTTTTTTTGGTGTAGTTTAATGGACCTCGACGTCGAAGACATCGATGAGCAGTTAGAAGGCTTGAAGGAATTCGAGGGCATGGTGTTTACTTAGTTTAATCGCTTCCTGTAGTTTTGGAGAATATGCCTCAGATTTCTAGACCAATGGGAGCAGTGCCCGTGATGCACATGGCAGCTGCCGAGGAGTTTTCCGTGGATTTGGATGACGATGATGTCCTTACTGGACGTCCAGTTAAACGTCGAAAGACGGCTATTTCGCAACCCCAACGAACTCTTCCCTCAGAGCACTTCCTTAATACTCGCATTCCCCTGTCTGGTGATTATGTTCCCATTACATTCTCCGATGGTCGTCGTCGATACCTTTGCATTAAATCTGAAGAGGATGAAATTTCTAAATCAGATCTTTCATTATCACGTTTAAGAAAACACGAAACCTTGCTACCTGACGACCTTTGCAAATTGGTTCAGAACGCGGAGCGTCTGGTATGGTGACTCTGTTGGTTGTGGAAATGATGTTTAGAACAGTTTTCGGCGTACCGTTGCAGCACTTGAATCTGCCCCAGAATGTCCTGTTGATGGTCAACTCTGGGTGAAAAAATACGAACCGACCAGCTACTTTGATTTAATATCTGCAGAGGTTGGTAGATTTGTTTTAACCTCACTTCGTCCCTCAGCATATAAATCGGCAGCTCTTGTGCTGGCTGAAGGCTTGGGATCTTAGTGTTTTTGGCGTTGAGTCCAAAGCAGCAGCGGCTGCACCTGTGTGGTCATCACAGTCGAGTAATGTCGGATCAAGTGATCACCAACAACAGTCTTTCCAAAGACAGGAAGCCGAGGTGACCATCGCTCAGTTGGATCATAAGGATAACCTCAGGCCTCGCTACCGAGTCGTACTGCTTTCTGGTCCACCGGGCTTGGGGAAAACCACTCTGGCTCATCTTCTTGCCCGCCATACTGGATATCAGATAGTCGAAATAAACGCTAGGTCCTTCCTTCAGTTCTCTCCAATCTTTACCTAGCTATCGATAAGTTTACCGCCTAAATATTGTTATGTCAGGCGTTTTCGACCTTTTTCGAAATTACAATGCTTACAGAAAAGGGGTAAACTGCATGCCAGATGAGTTGCCCAAAGCCTAGGGGATTTAAGCAGGTCGCATCAGCTCGAGGGGAGCGGAGATAAAAGTGTTAACTGCTCGTGGCCTCTGCTCTTCTTTAGCGACGATCGTAATCCGATCGCGATGCAGGAGCTCCTCGAGGCTGTGGTGTCGAGTCAAGCCAGTCTAAACGCCTCTGGTGGTAGCGAGGTGTTCAAACCCTCATGCTTGATAATTGATGAGGTCGACGGTGCGTTGCCTGCCTCCGTGGAGATTCTGGCGGAAGCGGCTGCAACCCCTCTAGTTCAGGAGCGAAGGCGGGGCAAGAAGAAACCAATTGTGTTACGACGTCCCGTTATCTGCATCTGCAATGACCTGTACGTGCGTTTGATTTACTTTTGGCCTTCCTCGTATCTATTTCTATCGTGCTCGCAAACCATCAGCGTTAAATACTTCGGCAGTTTTTGGTACTGTTTAAAATATTTTATCTAAATTTGATTTTTGCAATGAATTGGAGACTTGATAGATGCTATATTTACTGATTTGTGTTTATAAAGAATAAAAAACTTGACTTAAATATTTAAAGCCATGATCAAATTTAAAAATGAGTGCATAACTGGTGGTTCCATTACCAGTTTAGTTATGCACCACATTTTATCCCAAAACTTGAATACATTGATGTGATGCGAAATGGTTAATGGCCTTTTTCCCAGGTATGCACCATCCCTTCGGTCTTTGCGGGCACCCGGGGCCTCATGCTACATTCTACGCCTTCCCCCCATCGACCCCAACCGTCTAGTTGATCGTCTTGACTTAATCGCAAAGGCGGAAGACCTTACTGTGGACAAACGCTTTCTCTCAGCCCTCGTTGAAAACAGTGGACGCGATATTCGTTCGTGTCTTAACGTCCTTCAGGTTACTCCCAGCCCAATCCTCATACGTGAATGCTTTGTACTGTTTTCCTGACACCAAGGTCGTATTTTCAGTTTTTGAAGGCGACTCAAGTGCAACAGAAGGGCATACCTGCGATACAGGAACTGATGACTGGTCTGGAAGGCTCGATAAAGGACACGCAGCACAACCTCTTCTCAGCCTGGCAGGCTGTGTTCACTATACCTCCTGCCCACGTCCTCACTCGTCGAGTGAACCAAAACTGCAGAATGCGCACCAACCGCAAGGCCTCTACACCTGGCTCCGACAGTGTTCTTCAGACCAGGTCTGCTTTACGCCAAACGCCACATAGTAGCTAAGATCGTATTTGACCTATGCCTAACGTATTGGAGCTACGTGGAATCCACACCCATGGGGAAGGGATACCTGATTGGATTAATTCACCGGCTTTAAACGAATTTGTGATTAAAGGTTTTATATTACAGGATCCAAATAACAATGGAGATTTGTGACTCAACAGGTGAAATTCCGACTGTGGTCCTGGGATTATTTGAAAACTACCTTGACCGTAAGATGAAAGATGCAAACTTGAAGAAGGTGAGCAGTCAATTTTTAAAAAACTTGAAACATATTTTGGTTTTCTTACTCTGGCCCATGAGACCTTGGTTCTTGGTGGCAAATACTATTCATCTGTTAATCTTAAAATACACCGCTTAAGCAAGATCAATCCGTATATTTGATGGGTCAGAATCTTCACATCCAAATCACGGGCTTATTTGGTGTCCTCAATTCCAGAAATCGGAGTCTTGGTTTGTCTGACGTGTTTGTCATAAAGTTAAGAAGCAACCTGATCTGTATTTAGGCTTGTAGCGCGTCGGAATGGTTAGTGTACTCGGACCAATTGATGCAGCACGTGCAGAGTGCACAGGACTATGCGCTGATGCGCTACGCGGCCCTGATCCCAGCGTGGTTCCACCTCGCTTTCGCCAGTACCGCACCCTTGTCAATGGAGACGCGGTGGGCGGGGCAGTCGGAGACCACCGCTGCCCTTCGATGGCCTTCCGCCCTCAGCGAGAACGCTGCCACTGCAGGCAGAACCCTCACCATCCTTGACACTCTCGTAGAGAACCAATGGCGCGCTGGTGGCTCTTCCTCCGCCCTCACTTCTCTTCGGTATCAAAAGACAACAGTGTAGCATAGCTATGATAAGGTGGCCTTTAACAATGCTAAATTTGGAAGTAGCTGAACTGTGATTAATGTTGTCAAAATGAAAACGATTTTTAGATGTACTTAGTCGTGGTCTGTTGACCACGTGTACAGCAGGACTGTGTTATGGTGGAATGGAGTGAAGTGTGGTGATATACTGAGTCAAAATGAAAATGGACGTGCTGGCTCGTGTAGCTTTAAGTGAGAGCTAAAGGGTTTTGAAAGAATGTGGGATTATCGGACATCCTATACATACCCCACAGATTCCTAACGCACCGCCAATTTCTTCTGGACGCTGCGTGTTACTTGAACAAACTTGTGTCCACTATGTCGCTGACGCTGCGTCCCGTCAACACCCAGCTCTACAATGCCCCCGAAAAGCAGCATTTAGCACGTCTGGTCCACCTTATGATTGCTATTGGTCTGGATTGGGTTCCTCAGCAGGCCACTGACACAGGCGAGCCGGCATATCGTCTTCAGCCGTAAGCACGAAAAGGGGGAAAGACGTGGGCAATCTTGCAGGCGGGGCTAGTGACAGTCCTACTGTCTCCCTCCTTTAGGCCGTTGGATGCCGTGGCTCAATTCCCCTCTACCTTGAGGTCACTTGACTTGAGTGGCCTGCCCTACAGCACAAAGCAGATGCTGGCACGTGAGGTGGCCAGGGAGCGAATGCGTCGAGCCGAGGCCGCAAACGCACCCCCTGAGTTGGTGGGGCGTGAGGCCGACGCTAATACTTCGATGCTACCGGCTACTATTAATACTGCCAGGAAGGGGAAACCTATCCCCGTCTTCGATTCTTTCATGTCTGCCCGACTCGCACCTACGGCAGCTCCCTTGAACATCACTGCTGAAAAGAAGGTAACTGCCTTGTTGCACTTTAAATAAACATTTTTGTGAATTTCCAGGCTAGAAGAGACTTTTTTGGCCGTCAAATTATGGAAACGTCGGAGAAGGTTGAGTCAAAAGGTCAGCCACTTTCGCTATTTCTAATGCGAAGTGGTTTATATGTATGACGAATTTTTGAAATAAGTAGACCTTGTTTTTGCCTGCAGAAAATCAGCCACCTGCCGCCAACTGCCCTATCAACAAAACAATCTTCTTCAAATTTAAGGCAGGCTATTCAAATGCTGTCCGTCGACCGTTCTCCATAAACAACTTTATCACAAAGTGAATTGCGTCAGCTTTGGCAATACATTTTGTTTTTTTTGCTAATAAAAAGGTTTCCTTTAATCCATCGTATGTACTCAGGTTAAGTGGCTCATGCCCTGATTGGAGGCGTGTGAGATCCTCACTGTTTGTCCGGAGCTTAGAATATTCACGTGAGGTACACCTGGTGCAGCCGTGATCCTCTTCGCGATATACCAGGGGAAATGGGTACTTGTTTTGTTTGTACATGACAGTCCGGCCCTTTCTACTTTTCTGGAGTTCGAACACCACAATGATGGGATGGCCTTCTACTCGTGTCACCTGTGCTGCTAGGAAGGCGGCCCTAATACTGGTTGATGGCAAGGGTAGTTTTTAACTTGAATTGGTTGCGATGTGGGTGTCAAGTAGGTGTTAATGTCGGCAAAGCCGCTACAAAGGAGAAATTAACCCGGTCTCGCAGACCGGATACTGGACAGGAACAGCGTGGAAGGTGTTTGCAGTGGAAAGTTGAGTATGTGATTTCTCACAGAAGAAGAGCTCTCGAGGCGCTGTCGACTTTCTACCTCCGTCTCAATCCCAATCTTATATTGCGGGTGATAATGATGTAATATGAAAACTGAAAGAATTTGAAATGTTCGTAGATTTACTGCATCAAACATCAGTTGCAGCGGCTGGTAGTAAGTCGGATAGACTGGAAAAAGGTCGAAGGGATTCGATGCCAGGTTTGATCGGAGGAAATTTACGCGAAGTGCTGGCTCCAGTTTTGTACTTGGGCCAGGTTTCTTGGGAAGAGCGAACGCTCGTCGTAGAGCATCGGCAAATCTAGGGTTAAAGGTGGCAAATGAAGTAGTAGACTAAAATCATAAATTAGCTCGACCATTGATGACGATATTTTCTTGCGAGGGAGCAAAATTAATCGACTAACTTGTGATGGTAGGAGCAGAAGTGACCAGAGGAAGCATTGAAAATTTACAAGAAGTGAGAACTGTGTAGCGTGACAGTTCAGTACTCGAAATTCCTAATTGACTGCGCAGGTATTTTGAGTTGCATGAGACATGACACAGAGTCGAGTTCATGTCATCTCAACCGATACTTGCTTAATCAATCTGTCCTCCGACAATAAGGATAATTGCCGAGCAGAATGGCCTGGAACACCTTTAGGGACATCTGGACGCCACAGGATTTTGTGTATTTATCTAACCAACCAATGATTTAGCATAGCAAGTGAATGTTTGGTCTACCTCGTTTCAAAAATAAAGTTCCCAAGTCTTTTCTGAATGGGTAACGAAGCACACTAATGTGGAAGAAAGTTTACTGTTGGTGTACAAAAGGAATAAAGGGAATAGACGTGGGCACAAATCTGACTCATCAGAAGAAAGTACAACCTGGGTGCGTTATAAATGATTTTAACAATCTTCCTTCACATACCATTGAATTAATTGCATTTATTACTTATGTAAGGGCTCAAGGCTTTTCTGAAGTCCTAACAAGGTGGGGCCGAAGAACATATATTCCCAGAGCACAGAAGACCTGGAAGGCTACTGTCAAAAGTCATAGGCCGTGTCGAAGGGCAAAGCTTCAACGTGCGACGGCTCGAGAGCCCACCCAGTTAAAAAAGGTACCAAATCATCACAATTAAGGATCCATGACGGAAGTACAATAGTAATACGTTGATTGTTAGTTTAACGGTCAGTTTTGCAAAGGGCCACTATGTTTTGGACATTGTACCTCGCCGGGTGGGCCAGCCTTCAAGCCATACCGGTAGACCAAATACCCTCTTTATGTCGAATATATACATTCTGGCTAAGTATTATGTCTTCTTTCGTCTTCAGGGAAGTGTCGGGGCGCTACATTGGTGGCAGTGGAAAGCGAATCCTATTACAAATGACATCTATCCTGATTTTCACTGCTGCGTGATAAACCTTAGCGGAGCGGAAGAGGCACATGTGCTACGGATGGGAGAATGATGATGACTCCAAACAGAAGGATTGAAATTGACGTCTACCTTCGGCATCTATCCCAGTCCCATGTTCTGCAGAAACGCTATTAACAACTGAAGCGACACCAACCGTGAACAATCTGGAAGTTTCGTCACAGACTTCCCCTACCGCACCTGCATAAAGCTGGTGATAAAGTGAATTCATGGTACCTCCTCCATTTCCAAAGTGGGAACAACGTGGCAAGGAGGAACAGACGCGAAACCCTTCTTTCACGGACCTGCTTTAAACCCCGTACTTCCTTACACAAATCTGCTTTTGGACCAGTGCTCCTACATTTATTCATGAAAACGCAGGATGGCCAAAACAATTTTTTCTTTCTGAATGAAGTTCCCAAACCAGAGGAAACTCCAAATCCAGTGAAATTGTCAAGAGGGATCAGTGACTTTGTGGTCAAGTATTTTCCTAATTCCATAGAAATTCAATGACTTGACCTTCGTGCCATGCCATATCAGTAGCCCAAATACCTTCCATATATCGAATATATATATATTGTAGCGTCCCGGGACTCCTTGAAGACGAAAGAAGACACAATACTCGGGCAGAATATATATATTCAGCACGGAGAAGGTGTCTGGGCTATTGGCATGGCCCAAAAGGCCAGCCCACCCAGCGAGGTACAAGGGGGCTAATTCGAAGTACAAAAGTGGCGCCTCACCGGAACCGAGGGATAAACTACTACTGTATTACAATATATATTATGACCGGGTATTATGCCTTCATTCGCCTTCAGGGAAGTCTCGGGACGCTTTTCAAAGATGGGCTGTAAAACAGCCTCTCCTTACAAACTAATACAAGCTCACATGTATAAGCAAATATTTTCCACTGTTAAAAGGAATCAATACACGACAAGTAATTTACGTAAATATAGAATAATTATGTTTGCATCAAACAGCAGATTTAAAATGAGGTGCCAAGTAGTGGGATCCTAATCAAAAATTTTATTTTTTGTGTACATGTCAGCTTAACATACCCAAGCAAGTTTTGAGGCAGAATCCTCTTGCTACCACGATTACACCTGCCATGTTTTGTTTTAACTAATGACAGGAGGAGGGGTTCCTTTGAGGCTGTTTCATACTTGAGGTGTGTCTGATTTTCCGCTAGTGTCACTGCATCTTCGTAGAGGTATCTTTGAAGTGAAGTAGATACCTACATTTGCTAGGCCACATCTCTCCTCTGTGTATGGATTGGTTTTATTAGTTTAGGGACTAGTAGGCACCGCACCCAGCTGCCGGAATCTCGTTCTTTACTAACCCTCAGATGACAACGTAGACGGCGCACCGATTTCTTCTGATAAGCATTAGATTTATTGCCATTATTCGACTCATTACTTATTACTAAGGTTGTATTTCTGTTCTTCACACGGATTGCTTGTCAACAAGCCTTTTGTTCAGCGTTGTGTATACGGATTCCAAAGTCGTCCCAAAAGTGTCTTCATTCCTTTCATTGCCAGCATTCGATGGCTGCTCAGGCTACTGGTTTTAATTATTTGTAACATTCTGGGACGATGAATAGTTCTCATTATGTTGAATTACGCAATTGACAATAGTTCATGTCTCTCGTTTGCATTACTAACTTTCCAGAATTCAGATTAGATTAAACGCTCTAGTATTCGTTGTTTTGAGTGCCTTTTAACATTTATTAAATGTCGGCAGAACTTGCATTCTGGATCACATTTATGCTTTTGTATTCCGATGTTATGTTTTATCACCTTTTGAAATTCCCAAAAGGGTATTGTGATGCCTCCATAGGATATTTATTTTTTAACGACTTTTATGTTTAGGATGTCATGCACTTTTTATTGATGCAGAAATTTGATGTTTTTTATTGTGAAGTTGTTTTGCAGCTGGGGAACAATGTCACTGGAATCGCTCCCGGTAATAAACTTCACCCAGTGCGACCCTTCGACCAAAAGTACTTTCCATCTTTTTTAAATATCTGAAATGGCCAGATTTCATAAAACACAGTGTGAATGTGTTTGCCGAAACACTCAGCAAATGGGATATGCAGAATGATGATCTCGCGATCGCTAATCGAATTGTTCGCAGATTCAAGAATCAGCAGCGTCACTTTATCCACTTCTCTAAGTTATGCCACTTGACACGACTTCTTCGAAAAGCGGGTTCTGGTCGCAGCAACTTTTGCCTGAATTACGTGATCCGCGGCTTGGAGGCTACGGAGATGAATCAATGTTTTAGTCGCAATTGTATAGACTTCTTTCTCCTTGCACTCAACTCCTGGCAAAGTGAGATTTGCATAATTCGGGCTTTGTGCATGAGTTGTTGGAGACACAGCGAACGGCAAATGTTGACTGGACATTTCGTTAAACTAGCAACTCTCATAATGATTGTCCTTGCGCGGATCCTGTAGGATTATTTGTTTAATAGCTTCATGTAGCTACATTTTAGTATTTTGGCAGAAAAGTCTATTTTGTCATCCGTAGAAGTCTACAGTTCAATTTATGCTATACGCAGTCAAGTTCCAAATGTAGGCGTGGCTATGGACTGCCTGAGTCGTCTTCCTAAAAAGCTGGAATTTGAATCTGTAATTCCGCTAAATGAAAGGTGTATCGCTTTCTTAAACCTACCGTAAGCTGTTAATTTTCTATGATCAAAAATACAGGTGCGCAAGCTCCCAGACCGGAACCTCCGTTACAGCACCAAAGAACTGTTCCGTAGAGTCTACGCTGTACCGTAGGGTAGGCTGAAATCATAGGTTCATTTTCAAAGAAGTCCCATGAGTTGAAGTTTGTTTCAATAGGAAGTACTGATAAACTGACTGGCCAAACACCGATTGTGGTAAATCTTTGCTACCGTTACGCACTTTTTTAGAATAGTCAAAAGAATTCCCAAAAGGAGAGGAGAGAACTGTGAGTATTTCTGCTTACCTTCCTTACTTTTACATAGGCTGAAGCTTCTCCGAAAGTCAAAGGGCAAGCCTTCGAAGAGCTTGAACTTTCTAGAAATGTTATTCAAATAGATATTTGCCGTATTCAATCGTGTTCTAACGCTGCTTTGCTTCAGTAAAACCATGCGTAGTTGAAGAAATAGCACGTTCCCTTCATCATGGGGAAGATTTATCGGATGTCAATACTCTTTATACCATTTCCTAAAAACGTGTTAAGCGTCATCACCCACTTTACCCATCACTTGCTCCGGTGATGGTTTGGTGTGCATGGCCGATCTGGCTATTATTACGGGTCGTTACAAGGATAGCGCCCCCAACCATTTCGCTCAGATCTTTCACACAAATGTATCCCACAGAGAACGGTCAACTTCACGAAGCGGGGAAGCCGTCAATTACCCAGATTCCGCTTCTTGAATCATCTAGGCGATCTGCAAGTGCTCTCGTGAATCGGTCGGTCTGCAAACGTGCGAAGGTTGTTTGGTCTGTTTGAATTCCTTCTACTAGTTGTCGGGCTTGATTCAATTCGGAGAGTCTAAACAGTTTCTGGCCATGACGCGACTTGCCCTCTCACCGAGGTGAGAGTGTCGACGTTGAGGAATCACCGTGCACACCTCGCGCCACGCTAGTATCACGAACAAGTTGCCCGAGGCCTTTTCCGTGAATTACTCGACTGTGTCATTCCCGTCTATGGCTTCTTTTAGACTCTAAATGGACTTCGCTCCGTACGTACTATTCGATGAACTCTACTCCAATTTCGACTCCTTCAGTCAAATTGTCCAGGCCAAAGGACTCACTGTGAGGCTACTCGGGCTGTAATCAACTGCTATTTATATTCATAACACGTCATTGAAGTAGGATTTCAGCCTATGAAGCAAGGGACGATATTGTGGAGATACTCTCCCCGGGAAAGCTGGATGATTTGCCCTGCATTTTGGTTGACGTCTCTTTGCTTTCTGGGGATTTCAAACGCAGCCTCACTGTGGATGCCGGCCTGAAGAGACTGGTCCAATTCATCGGGAGCCTGCTGCTGTCACCCAACAGTAGAAAGAACTGGAGCCTTCGCGCTCTAACGCACACATTCATGGATGGTGTGGACATGAGGTCCTACGGCGAAGTCGTGCGAATCACCCGTCCATATGCGCAGGCTATCAACTTCTAGCTGTACTTTTTAGTCAAAAAACACAATATACCCCATTCACCCAAAATGCCAGTGAACTTTCGTAATTTAGTAAAAATATACGTGCCAATATTATGGGAGAAAAAAGGGGCAAGGGAGATCAAACAAGTGATGAAATGTGTGAACACAGATGAAAGACTGAACAGGAGTCAGATATTGAGCTGCGGAAGCAGGGAGGTGGGAGTGAAGCAGGGCGGAGAAACGACATGGCGTTGGCAGCGCCCCGTGGTGCTCGTCAATGTCATCGACGCGGTCGTCGTGGCGGGCAAGTCCGAAGTCGACCGGCGAAATGTGCCCCTTGGGGGCTCTGTTGCGGCCTCTACCAAGAGAGCGTGCATGTACGTTTTAGAATTCACACCACTTGTTCAACTTGTCAGTTAGTTTTGCAGTATGTGGTTGACGTTCACAGGGCGATACTAAGCTTCAAGAGCACGACAATGGCTAAATTAAACTGTCGGTACTCTGATGAAGTAAAGATTTTGTAAACAGATGACTCAAGAAGGCGAATGGAGGGAGGGGGTGTAACGAGACGCAATTCACGATGCCGGAAGGTGCAGTACACGTGGTTTAACTGCCTATTTGTGTACAACGGAGTGTTATGATTCTGCGAAAACTTCAGGTTCATTCAGTGAGAATATTTTGCCTCACTTTAATATAGGGCACTTAACCTCCAATAATTTCTCAAATAAAGACAGATTTCGTATTTGGCTTCAAAACAAAATAGGGATTTACTGCGGAGACTGAAACTAATCTCACGAACAACGGGCATTAAGACGGGTCGGAGCACTTACTGGCCTCGTGAATGCTCAGAGACGAGGCGAGAGAGCTGGAGACATTCGTAGGCCGAATGGTGGAAGTACTAGTGAGGACAGTGTTTCTGCTGGAGCTCGTAGTCGTGGTGCACCCGCCGCAATCGCCGCCGCTCGCCGAGGAGCCAAAGACAATTTCCTCCTCCGGTGCAACCTCATTGACGATATCGGAGACCTGGTCAGAGGTAGAACAGGCACCTTCTGTCTCCTCGCCTCCTCCTCCTCCACCACCGTCCCCACCCTCTTCTGACGTCAGCAAAGAGAGGCCGGTGAGGGGGAAACTGCTGTCTGTTTGCTGTAGTTCAGAAAGCAGATCCAGCTGAGGTGGCGACCGCCGCGACGATCCCCCGACCACCGTCTTGGGTACCGAGCTATGAGATAAAACCAACAAAAAGATTCCCAGTACCGGTTCCTACCCGAAAGCAGGGAGTTGGTATTCTGAAACATCCAAAGAGAGCCAAAGAAATCAATCATAACCAAGTACGCCTTTATGGTAAGATTGTGGTAGATTATGCTGGTGAAGTATTGGGGAGGGTTGTATGCGACTCTTGTTTTATACTGGACGAGAATATGGACATTGGATACATTAAATAAAGCTGTGAAAAGTGACTCATGGGCTAAAACAAAACGAATTGATATGCCATAGAGATTAAACATTTTTGCATTGAGTGCATTTTAAAAACGTCAGGAACTTTCGGACTCGCATCATAAATAAACAAACGCGCTTCATCTCGGAAAGTTAATATGTGGAAAAAGTGACAGAAAAGTGTCATCTAGACTCTTAGTGAGGCGGTCGAAAATAGCAAGGCATGGCCAAGGGACTCACAAGCGAGCGCGATAGTTGATATTGCTGGGCTTCACGGTGACCAGCAGTTGAGAGAGGTCGAGAAGCGATCCACTTGTAAAGGGCGAGATGGCATTAGTCGCACCCGGAAGACGGTACACTTCGGAGCACTCTAACGCCTCCTGCTCACCCATCGCAAACTGTATGGTGGGGGAAAAGGTAGTTCATCCCACACAAGTGACGAGTGATGAACGCTACCAAACTAAACCAAAAATCGTTGCTATAAGTTTTTCTGGTGAATCAACAGGATCTACTGTTCCCAGGGGGTGAGAGATGAGACATCAACCCCGCGATGAATTGATTCGCTTAACTCAACACTACTGAAATGAAATGCATAAATATAATGAATGCGACGAATTGTTGACAACATTGCAATTTTGATTCGCTGCTGCATTTTGAGGCACTGAGAAGGATCAACAGCACTGTATAAAATGAAGCATAAATGTGGAAAGTAAATGTCTGACTTCACCCAAATATGACTCAGAATGTATATTTAGAGTCAACCGAACGTTTCGGTGCTCTGATGCTTCCAAATTCGCCATACGTCTATTTTTAAAGCACTAAAAGAATGTATTTAATTATAAAATTACAATGCAATAATGTTATGACATAGGAAAATTTTAGGTACCACTGTCGATAAAATAGCCTACACAAAGAACAGCTCGACAATCTTCTAGTAACAAACTCCTACTTTTACTTCTGTATTACATCCAAGGGGCCCCGATACCGGTTACTGATTGGGCAATGGATTGACTTTGGGGTTTATCGGAAAGAGGCGGAGACAAGAGACCAACCTGGAAGCTCCGTGGTCTTGGGCGCTCAACACGTAGAAGAGGTCTCATCCGCGAGAAAGTACTGCTCGCGATATTTGGCTCATAGAGTAGATCGACTACGTCAAGATCTTCTGTTGCTTCAATGGCGGACATATCCACACATTTGGGACTGGATACGCGTGAGCCCCCTTCCACACATCGAGGCTGGAGAGAAAACACCTGCTTGTCGGTTAGTTTTACGTGCATCAACGGCACCCGAGATTCGGTTGAAGAGAAAGTCTGAGGTCAGATGTGCACTGAAGTGAGGAACCTTAAGGAAGTTTTCCAGGTGTGATGGTTTGCATGTAATAATTTGAACAAAACCAGATCTCCCACTGGAGAATTCCTATAGACCATCTCAAGCGGACGAATGAGACACTTTTTCTGATTCTCAGTAGAATTACTACGAGTTACCCCATATTGACGTGCATAACAAGTCAAATGAGCTACGGAGTTAAATAAAAATGGTGGTAGATAGCAAATATAATGTGCCACAGGAACAAACGATAGGCTACAGTTGCGAAAAGGTACTAAGTCCTGAATCCATCCTTGACACTGACTGGGCAGGGACATAATTTGAAACACCGAGTGCGTCTTTCTCACACAGCGCCGACACAAAAGAGATTTTCACACAATAATAGAATAAAAAGATTCTAGGAATAAATAACGATGACTCGTTCAGTATGCACCAAGAAGCACTAATCACAACCACACAGCGTGCTAAATATCCACACATGAAACGCAGCACTGAAGTAGTAGACCATTGCAAGCATTTCTTAGGCTACTTTGTCACACGTACAAATAATGGACTTTAACCTCAGTATCATTAAACGACGGAATACACGAGTCAAATAGAAGCAGATGACTTAATAGATCAAAAAGCAAGGAAACCACATTGATGAAGATTTTGTTTAACCTGCAATCTCTGTATCAGCAGAAAAATCAGAGGACTCACCGTTGGAGTCGGCACTCCGCGACCCTTTTGAGGGAATAGGGGGAGGGAGAGGGGAGAGGAAGTGGCATGGGTCTGAGTTTCAGTCGCGCGTAGATCGTTCAGGTCCTCCGTCGCCTCGACTGCAGACCAATCGACAGGTGGTCGCCACCGCTGATGAGGCCTTGAAATATCCCGCCAATGGGGTTTCAAGCGAATTGGAAACACCTGAGTATCAAAACCCAACCGTCGTAGTCGTTGGGCGTACTCTTCATGCATCAAAGCGCTGGAAAGAGAAGGGTGACACCGCAGTACTGAAGAACGCGCACCTGGTCTAACAACTTGCTAAAATGATTGCGTCAAGATAATGGATCACGAGTTGATCCTTTTTTCTGTTTTCATGCCGGAAATGATGAGGTCACTAACTGGACCACGCTTGAATGACATGTTGAAAAGGGTAAAAGCATACCAGAAGTGTTTTTACAATCATAGTACCCATATCTAAAGGAAAAATCCTGGTGTAATATACCAAGAGGTTAAAAGTGGGCAAAAATAGCTACCTGCATGAACAAAAATGCGTAAAATTTGCGTAGATTTTACTAATGAATGCGAATGTCGCTTACAAAAGACTAGGACTTTATTTCAACCAATTTTTATCCAAATTATCAAATATTTGTGGAATTTTCGAATATCACAGATGCCTAATGATGCAGCTCTAAGATCTTACGTGAGCCGAATAAGTCGTAAGTGCATTTTTGCTGATTAAATTCAATTGGAAATAAATAGATCGTCCCGTGCAAATAGAGGTGGATAGATGAGGTAATGTGACATGCATTAGCGCAAAAAATTTGATGAAAATGGTGACGAAGTAACACGCAGGCAGATAATGAATCGTGACCTACAACTTGGTCTGAAGCTGATCAAACGCAGAGCGAAGGCGGCGATTGTCATCCAACAACCTGGCCAACTCACTCTCGTAAGCCACTATCTTTTTATTTGCACCCCTGACAACATCTTCCAGATATTTCTTAGAAGGAAAATCAATATCTATTAGAAAAAAGCCAAAACTACGCGAACTAGCACAAAGGGGATTACCTTCTGAGATTCGCTTGAAAGAGCTTTGACTGCATACTCCTGACATTGCTTACAAAAGTTCTTTTGTAAGTGATACCCGGTATCGAGGACATTTGAATTCGGGTACCTGGAACTTTATCCAAAACAAGAAATCTGTCAATGAAAGAGCACAGAGGAATATGTCTTCCAAGTATAAGAATAGCCAAAAAACTAACCTATTTGTGAAGCTGAGCAACAAAGCGTAGTCTATTTGGCCAGTGTATGGGAAATTGAGCTCGTCAGCCCTCATATCGAAACTGAGAAAATACTATTCATTTAGTAATAAAAACATCCCTATCAAAACGCAAAGGATGTGATAAACTAGGGCAGTTTTGGAGTGAATTCCCAACATAGCATTCCGAATTTAAATAAACACTAACATACTTAAACACTAATCTGCACAACAATGGTGGGCCAAGAACGCAATGTTTACCAGAAGTCTAGGTACTGTAATTCCACAGCTGCGTCAGTAATTCTTCCCAGATGAGTGGAGAGTAGGATTGCAGTGGGATGATATACACGGCTACAAAAAAAAGTTTATTTCGCAGAAATACAGCAGAATGAAGCACCAAGTAACCTACCTTATGACTTCCGTAGAATTGAACAAAACATCGAGATACAAGTGAAGGCGCTTGGATTGTAGGGCGAGTCGCAAAAAGGCACGGAGCTAAAACCGATAAGAATATCGGGAGGCAGTGAAGACAAGTTAAATAGTCTGCAAATGAGCAACATCAGGTAAACAAAGAAGAAACTGAAACAAATTGTTTTTTGACACCTTGGCAAGACCACTTTGGAGATTTTCCAACGAATTGACTAAGCCAACACAACTTTGGGGCATATTCTCACAGGATTGGGCAACCCAACGCCACAATTTCCAACCTTTCCACCACTTAGAGGCATCTAGGAGGATCTAAACTACTAAGATTTTACCTCCGGGTGCATCGCAGAAAATGCTTTCCAGACATGTTAAAAGACCACGAACACCATGAGAGGTTTCATCAAGAATGCCTGACTTGTTTTGTTCGATGACTAAACTTATGTAAGCACTGAAAAAAACATTAACTGATGTATAACATCAAACCATGTGGCCTGGACAATATTTTCATTTAAAATCACTTTCCCTGGGTATTTGTCGCCAAGCTTCGTCATGAAGAAGTATGCTCATAAAATATCGCAGCAATGCATCACAGTTTATAACCACCAACACTACGATTTTATTGGACGAGATTTGCCAATTTAAAAATTGCAATAATTAGTCATTTTCTAATCAATACATACAAACTACGATATGTTAAACACATTGCGCTAAAAATTCAGACTTCATAATTTTGCAACTTTAGTAATTGTTAAACAAATTTTCGACGAGGTGCAAAGAAGAATGCTAGAAAATGGAAAACTAGTAGGTCCACAATAAAAATCTATGCCGCCTAAGCCAAAGATATATGTAGAGCGAGGCTCCTCGGTCTCCGCTTCCCGATTCCTAGCGTTCCTAGACAAGCCTGGTTGATTTGCTTTGGACATCTTTAGTAAAGGTGACAAGATGGATAGGGAAAATACAATATTCAAGAAGGAGGGGGGCCGCAGTCACTAGGTAAGAGAGAGGACGATCCGGTTACAAGGTTCGAATTTCCTGATTGCCTCCTCCCTGAAAGGCACATTAAAAAAACATAAGTATTACACATAAGCACTTACAAGAATTACTCACTACTGAAGCTGAGCCTTCCCGCAGCATGTAAGAACACGGCAAATGCGGTTGTACATACAACTTGTCAGGTATCCAAGATCACATTAGCTATCATTTGGGATATTCTATCCATGATTCGATGCAGTCGTATCTCTAGCCCCTCGGAGTGAGATGGGCTAGTTGGTAGCGCCGTCAAATACCAAAAGGACAATCACTGCCTCAACTCGAACCAGTCCGTTTCCAATACCTCTTTCCACATACCCCCTGGGAACAAGAAGCATTGGGACATTGTCAACGCATACCACAACAACCCACTTCAAGGCGTCGTCACTGCAATGTGTTGGGTGGATAGTTCTCCCTAAAATCACTATCTTCACTCCTCAGCACACACACGCCTTCCGCTATCTACAAGTGGGAATTAGCAGGCTTGGGCATGTGCATTTGCCAAATTGAAAGAGTAGATGCTTTGTGAAATAGGTGAGAAATCGCACCACAGGCACCCGACCACCCACCCATTCAATGGATCAAAGTGTGGAGTAAAGGCGGACATCGAGCACCAATTTTTAGCACAAATTGTACCACGGAATCGGTGGATGAGCGAACTCTGCCTAGGCTGGAGGTGTCACTCGCTTCCACCAGTTGACCTGCTGACACCGTGCGGTGAACTGTAACTGATTGAGATACGCCGTGACGACCGTAGTTTCAATTGGTTGGTTGGGTAATTGACAGACGTGGTTACAAGCTTTGATGAACTTGCTCACACTCAGACGGGTGCCATAAAGGGCTGTAACATGTCACAGGTATTTTGAGTGCCCACCTTCAACTCAAAGGCACGGGATACCGTGAAGAACTATCCAAGTCTACAGCGGTTTTTGCAAATCTGCCTGATTGATGTGTAAATGAACATATTTCGCCTGGATAGTTTGCCTCTTTGGGAACATTGTCATTCTAATCCTAGTAAATATTCTCATTTGATTTTTGTTTGATTTTGGCCAACATAGCCTGAGCTGACTGCTTTGATTCAAGGGTGATGACTTCAAGAGTTCAAAGGGTGTTTTACTGCCCAGTTAAAATGTGGTTGCCCGACGATTTTTAGAGATGTCAAGCACAAAAAGCAATTTTGAGGTTGCGAATCACGTTTGCAAGCAAACACTGCAAAGGAGGAGAGAGATGAGTGAAATGATTTGCCTCAAGCAATGGACAAAAGCCAAGGAATGCATTTACATCTCCTGAGCTGAAGCAGCTCGCATAATCGGCTGACCCTCCTCATCCTGAAATGGCAAGATTTGAGGCTCCTTCCCGGGCATACCCCTTAAACTATTGAGTGCTGATGCATCCCAACGGTTTCAGCTACTGCATTAAATGTCCAACTATGTTCCCGATCCTATAGACTTAAGTGTGTGTCTATCTTTAGTGTTACACTCCACAACCGACTCCATAATGAAAATAGTTTACTTTTTTGGTCGATATTTTTACCACCCTTTTTTTAACCATACTGAATTCTGACTGATGAACATTTGATGCTATAGGGATCGAATCAGAAGGTAAACAGGGAAGTAAGCCAGGTTGTATATAATCGTCAAAAAAAGATTAGTAACAAAGGGATTCGCGTCCATCATGAAAACAAAACCCTTTTTTCGATTTTTCAACACTATTTTTACCAATAACCACTTCTCACCTCAAAGCAATTACAGAAAAAGGGGGCTTTACTAGAACTACTTTGAACAACAAATTACAGAGGTAAGGTGTAAAAAAAGAGTTATGGCTCACACGTCAGCTCACTGCCTACTAAGGATTCTAGGCTAACCACCGTACAGGTACATCTGCCTCACACGCATTTTCTCATTCGAATGCACTCATACAAATATTCCGCCTTGGCAGTCATTCAATCAACAAACTAGTTCTTCAAATTGCAATTTGTCCATGCTCTGTTTATTTATTTACAACACACCAGCTGATAAAATGTTTAACAAGATTATTAAACTTCTTGGTTGAATGAAAGGCTGAATGAATTTATGCCATGACGTCTTGACTTATGTCCACCATACCGCCCCCACTTTGCAAAAATTACTTCAAAGAATTCTCCTGCATTATGGTAGGCAAACTCGGTGGCACAGATACCAAACCCCTCAAGGAGTGGGTGAGGCTTATAGTAAATAAGCTCAATTAGTTGGCTATACTGCCTCGTTCGAGTAACAGCAATGACCCACCAAATGGAACGTCATACTACCGAGGGCGTCTACATCTTGCCCCTACTTAAGGCAAGCCCTCCTCCCTTTTACATGCCTATTCCCTAATGACTCTCACTGGTTCCTCCAAGTCCTAGGAAAGCCAAATGCACACCCTTGCAATTCCCTTTCTCACCCCGTTTTAGTCAGACCATTAGTAAACCGCAGGGCTTCCCGCAGTCTAACATACCACAAACAGCAGAAGGGAAGGAGTTGCAGGCAGACAAGAAGTGGCGTGGATTGTAACTCTTAAGACAGAAGTCCTACTTAGTACTAAGGCCATTCTGCATTGCGTAAAGGGTACTTACTCTATTCATCAAAAAGGTAAATCTAATGTGGAGTTCCCTTCACCCAGTCCAACGTCCTCAATAAGGCTGGAGCGGCGCCTGGGAACAATCTAGACGATTTTTTTCGCTGAGTCACCCACATTACTGGTAACCAGAGAACAAAACTTGAGGAGTTGCTGGTTAAGTGCACCAACACCTTCATGTGCCTAGGTTCTGGGCATGGAAGCTAAGGCGCCAGAGAGATCAGGCCCACTTGGCAATCACTAAGACGCATACCACTTCCTCCACCAGAGGCGATAAATCGTATGCCTCACTACATGCTCAAATATGAGGTCCTTAAGTCCATGGATCTCGCCGGATGCTCTAGTCTCTATCGGGATACTGATCGCAGAAAACCAAACACCATAACAGTGAGCACGCCTTCCCTACCCTACACTAAAGATTCCTAAGACTCTCTACACGCATCGAAGTGGTCCTTCATACTGGAGTTAGAATCAAGATGTTGGTAAGTGGAGAAGACGGAAACAGATGATGACGGCTGCCATCTTACCCACTGCGCCTTATGCGTACCAGATGACGCCTAGTGGACTCTGCAACGCAACAGCCACTTTTCAACTACTTGTGCAAATAGCTATGGCTGGACCATTACGGAGCACTGTATTATGGTACTTTTGGACGATACATGACTAATTGACAAAGGCATGCAGGAGTCCAGTTACAATTTGGAATTGCTGTTTTACCGTATCCAGAATGCGAGTTGAACACTGGTTTACGCATAGGGCCAGTTTGGACAATGTTCAGTAAAATCTTTGGGACATAGTGTCGGTGAAAGCGGACCGCACACGGCAGTTTAGGGCACCAACCAGGTAGACTGGACGTCGAAGCTGCCTGAACTTAGCAAGCTACTACTGATGTTCCGTTACAGGCTGTGCTAAGCTTGAAAGTGCACTACACACCCTAGATGAAAACTAGGTCAAGAAAAATATGATTTGGGAGGAAGAGCATGATGAAATGCTTAAAGGACCAGAGCAAATGCTCTGCTTTATGTCGATTCTAGCCCTATCCGCTTTTGAGTTAGGCGTCTCGCCATTGTGCTAGCGATGCAGCTCTAGGTCTGTTGCTATTTCCATGGAAGAACGAGGGAGGTCCAGTACGTGTCATTGCTTGCGCTAGCGCCAAACTCAACAAGCAGAATGGACAGATAGGCGCTACTTCATGGAAAAAGTTTGCTACCTTTACAATGGTCATACATTCCTGGTATTACCTGATGGCAGGGGAATCCGTGATCAAAACAGATTATCCAGCGTTAATCTGGTGGATATAGACCGCCCATTGACCTCTTGATATGAGGTACTGCAGTGGTAGATTCCATTGCACAATAGAGGAAAGGGAACTCACTTTGTAACTCACGTAGTAGCACTCTCTCAAAGCAAAACTGCAATAACTAAGGACAGTCAATAAAAAAGGATCTTTTTAAGAAAACCCGCTAAATACCAATGGAGAAATGCTCAGAGAAATAGTTTTCATTCTGTTCTGGTGTACAAGAGATTCTGCGCATTCTGTCACAAACTGACAGTAAGGAAGACGTTATCATAGGGCAAAGTGGCTAGGCGTATATAACAGAATGGTCGAATTGTCCCTGGAGTACGAGGCTCATTGCCCCAAGATCTGAAATGAGCAAATGAACGTTTAATAATTTCATCCTCATTGGTAAAAACAAGTGGACAAGGGCGGGAATCGAAATTGCTGGACACTGGTGGTTTTCAGTCACCCATGACATGTATGAGTTCTACTGCACCTGCATTGCCTGCAGCTGCCTTAACAGATATCCACCAAGGACCTCACACTTAACAATTGGTTGCATACTCGCGTATTGAGCTACAGACAATGCATCCACCGACTTCTCATCGTTTAAAATGCCCACTGGCTTAAAAATTGGGGAGCCAACTGAAATGTTCATTGTTAACACTAACGTATAGAACTACAACACTCCGGAATACATGGTGCCATGTGAGGGATGAAAGTGGTAAACGCTCGCCCTCGCGCGTGTGCCAAAAGTGTATAATTCGATGGGATAACCAAAATGCTGCCTATCAAGAAGGCGATCTAGCGTAGCTCTATGGCCCTGTTCTACCCGACACCGTAAATTCTAAATCCCATTACCTTCAGAACAAAAATGCATTTCAAGTTACGCAGATCATTTCACCAGCAAATTACCAGATGTCCAATACTAAAAGGACCATGTAAAGCACAGTTTTTTAACTGCCTCTTAGACAAAAGGGTTGATGTAGTTGACTAGCCTGGTGGCTGCCAACATAACATCAATCCCACTGAGGACACAAATACCTGGGGCCACAGACCATTTGCTATGCAATACTTATACTGTTTTAATGTTCCTTTCAGAGAGGAGGCAAAGATAGGACACAAACCTCGTGACAGAAGAGTCGGCGTCCTGCAAGCCTGAGAGCGGTCACTGATCCTTACCTCCCCAAACCATTTATTAATTTTCCCTGTTCACTTCTCCCAATAAATATATCGAATTCAAACCAACGCGGTTGTTCCAAGAGTACGAGGAGCAGGGAAGAGGGGACTTATTTAAAACAATTTTCTGTATACGCATTAATGTAATACGATGGTGGTTTATCCCTAGGTATCGGTGAGGCGCCACTTTCGAATTTTGAATTTGCCTTCTTGTACCTCGCCGGGTGGGCTGGCCTCCGGGCCATGCCAGTAGTCCAAACACCTCCTCTGTGCTTAATATATATATTTTGCCCTAGTATTATGTCTTCTTTTGTCTTCAGAGATGTTTTGGAACGCTACTTTAAATTGGACGGGATAAAGCGGAGTATATAGGAACCTCGTGAACCCATATGACCCCCATTCCCTGTATGCTTTCATAACACTTGTTTCCTACAAAATGTACTTCAAATTTGTCTGCTAGTTTTAAGATTTTGAAAGCGGAGGTAGAAAATGAAAACACTGAGCCTGTCACAGGAGAAGTCTTGAATTTTCTCGACAAGAGATAGACAAGGAAGTGCAAAAAAGTTGTTTATCCACGGTATTTAGGTAATTAGGTCCTAATGTCAATCTTATGAATTAGTAAAAGTAACTTTCTGTTCTAAGTGGACCACTGGGAAATCACCCAAAAGCTTAATCTTGAAAAACGAAGGTTAATAGTTAATTGGCAGAATTCAACTTTTATATACAACCTAAATCTAAGTGTTAGGAATCGGTTTTTAACATTTACGTCAAAAATTGTTTTATATAAAATACACCATCTTATTTAGTTTTAATGCATTAGATGGAGTTGTGCACTTTTAAGTGACCGCTCCGAATGGCCTTGTTCACGCCTATTAACCAAAAAAGGTTAACAAATGTCTCTGTTGTACGCCTAAAAAGGAATGGCAATAGGTATGAATTGGCTTGTTATCCAAATAAGGTAAAGGCGTGGCGCGAAAAACTGTAAGACCCAATGAAGTTACTCCATTATTTAGTGAGCGAAATATTGATGAAGTATTACAAGCTCATGAGATTTTTTCCAACGTGTCCAAGGGGCAGTTGGCCACAAAGTCAGATCTTTTTCGTGATTTTGACACAGAAGATGTTGATACTATCATACGTAGCGTATTATTCATCGTTCTGATATCTTCAGGTCAAATTCTGAATGACGGTGAAATGCAAGTTACTGTAAAGGAGCGAAAGGTTGAAAATGAAAATCTGTTTCGGGATGTTGCTAAAATTGTTTCTGAAAGGTGTTTTAATCCCGAAAATTCTCGAGCTTATACGGTTACAATGATTGAGAAAATGATGAAAGATTGTCATGTGAATCTTCAGCCGAAAAAGAGTGCTAAGCAGCAGGTAACAGATGCGTGGCTTCTCCTATTTTAGGCCCTCGAAGTTATACGACAGCTCAGAGCCTCGGGAAATTTTAAGATTGCTCCTGCCATGATGGAAATTCTGATATCCCTTGATCCGAAGCTGGCAGATAACGTTTCTCCACGTATCCTCAAACTTGTTCATCACATTATACGTCAAGAGCGCAATCCGGAAGGAATATTTGAGTTGGTAGATCTTCGCATTCGTGGCTTTGTGTTTGGGATTTTGCAATGATTTAATGATTGGTGGGACGCTTGTTAAAAACCGGTTTTTTATATTTATAGGTGAAAGTCTCACTTTTAGAGTCATTTATGTGACTGATGGTTTAGGTATTTGTAGTATTTCTCCCTTCTCTCCTTCTCAACTATTTTTAGTCACTTGTCTCTTTCCTTATTTTAAGTTTTTTTTTCGTCTAAGTCAGCAGTTATTGAGCCGGAGAACTACCACAGCCTAACAGTAGTTCTGGACGAGCACGCAAAGGACAGATATTGTATTGAGATCATTGGCGTGGCAAGGCCGGTTTCTGGCGTAAAAAAGCCACCGCTGCCGTCTCCGTTGTCTTCAGCGGTCGTCAGCACTGCGCCGATCCTCGAGACTAGCCCGATCTCCGAGGAACCCTCTGATGGTTCGCCTACTCCTGCTCCGGACGGCGCCTCTCAACGCTGCACTGCCGATACTGCGACCCCCGTGGGTGGTGGAGACGACAATGATCGCTGTGGAACAGTCTCCAGAGGAAACAATCAAACCAAGAAAAGAAGGCGACGTAGAAATCGGAAAGTCTATGATGACGATGATGTTGAAGATGACAGCATTGACGGTGCATTTGTACAGAAGGAAGCTGCCACCTAATGCTATAATAGCCGTCCCATTTTCTTTACATCAAATCTATCTGGCGAACCTTTCAATTTTACTTTGCCAATAGTTTTCTCTGCCTCCGACTCATTTTTTGTTTCTATTTTTTTTATAAATTTGATGGAGTTCTGCCTATTCAGTTGCAATTGGTAATACGAGATGGGTGATAGCTATTGAGAGAATCGGCTAACTGCATTTTTATCATATCTGAGTCACTTTTTTGGCTGGTGGTGCGTAAATCCTTCTTAGGGTCATCTGATATTGAGTTCGATAGCGGCGGTGTGGGTACATTATGGGTTTGGGGGCCGGGAATTTGTATCTTTGCTGCATCCGGGCCCTCACTGAATATGTCGCAAGATCTATGAGTCCGGGTATTAGATATCGAGGTCGTGCGGGGGTGCTAGTTCATTATTAACAAGGATGGAAGAGGCGGAATGCCTTTGCTGGGATGATTGCTCAAATCGAGCGAGTTGGTATGTCCACACGGATGTCGATCTCGAGAGAGGAGTGGTCCTGAGATAATTTATGTTAGTACACCTTGGGAACTCGCCTTGCCCCTAGTAAAGCCAGATCCTGTTGACTGCGTGCGCAATCTCTCGACTACTTTGTTAAGAAATAGTCAATCTGCGATGGGGATTCAAAGCAGTCTTCAGATGAATAAACTTGAAACCATTTTCGGGAGCACATGCTCATTTTTTTGCATGCCATAGATAAGTCTTTTTAAGCCATCATTTCCATTTAAAATCTACAAGATCCAATCAGTATCTTTTACCATATCTCAACCCTGTTTTGGGAAAACCGAATCAAGTATGCATTGCCGTACTTACGAGCAAACCTTCAATTTCGTTGGACTTTTTTCCCTTCAGCCTAACATTTCTGAATGTTGTACTCATTTTGCGCATGTAACACCACTGTTTAACGAGTTAATGCACGCTATCTTGCCACATTCCAAAATTCCAACAAAACTGAAAACAAGCGTGACTTATTTTTTCTACTTAAGGGCACGTAGTAGGGCATTTCTGGTGAATCTTTAAACACAAAATACAGTGAATGAGTATGTACAGAAAGGGATTGCATTTCCATGTCGATACTGCAAACGGGTATGAATGGTGGCCGTCAGTTTACTACAGATAATTTAGTCTCGTGAACTTTCCCTCCTCCATTTCCTCCCCGAGCGAATCAAGGGCAGTGGGGTGCGTCAAAAGGTGACTTTCCCTACCCCATTGCTTCTCTAATGGGTGATGAGGCAGATGGATAACTTCGTTGTAGGTGTACTGTGCGGGGGGAAAGAGAGCAGCTGAAGGGCTGTGGGACGGTGCAGTGACACCTCTCCACATACACGGACTTTGTTGTTGCACTTCCTCGTAGGATTCGCCAGACTCCATGCCCCCTATGGTCGATGTTCCCCCGCCTATTGGTGCCTCTGCCAATGCTGCACATATAAACAACATGTGTATGTAAAAAGACTATTTTGTAAGTTGAATCCTAAAAGTTGATAATGGTCCGCTTCAAAATTTTTCATATTTTTATTTAACTTAAAATAAATACTGAAGGTTAACTGATTCCCCGGTATCCAGACCACTCATAAAACAATCATTTGTCTTTTTATTATGATTATCCTCTTTAGCTTCTTTGGCCTCTTTTAGCAGTTTACTGACTCACCGCTAGAATAATTTTGCTGCCAATGGGAACCTAAACTACCCGAGGACGGTTGGGCGGCTGAGTGGAAATCGAAGAGACTGGTCTCATGCTCTTCATCATCAGATTCTTCCACTTCAAAGTCCTCCTCCCCTGCCTGCTCCACCTTTGCTGACGATGTCGCTGTTACCACAACATTTGAGGAAGATGGCTGGGAGGAAGAATTTTGCTTGTCTACACCCTCGGGACGGTTGGCCGGTAGCCAGGTCATCTTGTTCTCCTTTTTGAGTCGGCGCCGCGCGTTTGCAAACCACGTGGAGACCTGCGTGATTGTCATTTTGGTGATGATAGCCAACATTATCTTTTCTCCTTTGGTAGGATAAGGGTTCTTCATGTGGCCCCGAAGCCAGGCCTTCAGTGTAGAAGTGCTTTCACGGGTGACGTTTTTTCGACGACTCACGCTTCCAGTACCTCTCCCGTTCTCTACTCCCCTTCCACCACTCCCCTCTCCTTCTCCATCCTCTTCGCCCCCTTTATAGCCGTCCACAATTTGCGTTCTGTCCATACTGAACGTCCTGCTAAAATTACGTTTGAGATGCACAAATTATATGACAGAATCAATGGTAATAACACTTCAAGCTAGAAGTTCATTCCCGGCTAGAGGATCAAGCATTTGATTTTTCGTTTGCATGATATTTGTGTACCGAAACACACCCACATTTGCGATCTAGAGCTCGGAAACATGAGTTTGCATTCAAAATTTCATGACGTGTTATTATTACACGCTACTTTACTTCATTTCCCTGTTACAGCGTTGGTGAATTCCTTATTCAATGGGTCGCTGTGAGGTGATTGAAGGCCTTATACGGTTTGGACCATGTCTACTTACCTGTTTACATGAGAAGTAGTCTGGTGGAGATCTGGCCTCTGTATAGGCATTCCTATTACGTGTTGTGAGGGCGGCTGTGATGTCGGAAGGTAGGAAACGCATCCAGGGAAAAAGACAGGAGAATACTGAGAATGTGAAGGGGGTTGCGGCAGTGGCAGATGATGGCCCCAGAGCGCTGACGCCTGGGGCTGCATTGTGGTGACGCTTGACTGAAAGGGGAACGGAGGTGCCTCTAACCCTCCTCCATTCGTTAGTGAGTGAGCAGGACCCCCCCAGGAGGTAAAAATTTCCCCTCTCCTCGAAGTTCCACCTCCTTCTGCCTGAAGAGGAGGCGGTGGTGGCAGTGGTGGCAGCGGCAGCAACCCTGAGCTCTGATCCGCAGAACCCGAAGAAGAGGAGATTGAATACTGACCTGCATCCTCCGAAATGCTCCCGTCCTCGCAGACAGTGAGACTGCGAGAGAGTTTGGTGAGTGGTGGACTCTGCACCAGTCCTTCCGCGAATGTGTTTCGTGAATTGATCGGGATTTGAGGTACCTTTGAGCAAGGAAAGAAAGGGATTTTATTTGGTAGTCCAACTGTATTGTTTAAAGCAGCAATAGCCAGTGGAGGTTGTGTCAGTTCTCCAATCGTCCTGCGTAATCTATTGCTGTGTCTATCATGTGTGTGCGAGTGAGACCGGTGGAGATGGAAATCAGGGTTCCGGTGGTGTGTTTCGTCAAGACCACTTCCTTCTCCCTGCCTGCCTCTCTCCCTCTTGCTCTGTTTTCTGACTGGCGATCCCCGATTGGCATCTGTAACGGAAGTCCCGCTATGCTGGCTAGAGGCAAGTGGACGAGTAGGAAACAAATCTACCGTTGTCTGTAAGCTAATTTTATCCAAAATAACACTTGTCGTACCACTAGAGTTGAGCTAAATCCACAGAAACTCATATCATTCCAAAGCCCGGTTTAAGCGAGTTTACAGAAAGGGGATTAATTTTTCATTTTATATCTACTCCACAGGAGCAAGTAACAGCCGCAGCTGCCTTATAACTCGTACCGGTATTATGCCTTAAAGCACCAACCAGTTCAATTAAGAGACAAAGGGTGAACCACTGGAATCTCCTCCCTGTCGCACGGTCTCTGCAATATGTATGACCTGGCAAAACTTAAAAATCAAACGAAACACTTGTTCCACTGATAGACCTTTCAAATTTCCATGTCCTGTCTTTCCTTCATTTATTCTCTTTATTTTTTGTGACTCCCCATTCATATGGCTCTGTGTCATCCTCTATGCAAAAACGGTGAAAAATCTCAAAATTCCCGCATTAAGGGCATAGTGGTACTTCAAAGTAGACTAGATACCAACAAATTCGGGTATTTGAGTGATAGGCATAGGTGAGTGAAAAATAGTTGCAGAAAGGTGAAGTTACCTTTAGCTGATGTATTGTAGCACTATACTAAAGCATACAGAACAATTTAAATTTGCTGTTCATAAGCTAATAACTAAAATAGCATTTTAAGACTGAAAACGATCAATCTTGAATTTGACCAATCAACTGAATTCCTAAAAGGTAGGAGAGAAGACCTGGTGAGGTCTTAAGTAGGTAGAATTACCTCCTTCCTTCCTTTCTTCAAATGCAGATAGAGCATGCAAAATATGAGTTTAAGTGGTTTTGCAATCGAAACGAAGCATCTCTGCAAGCTTCCGGTTGCTAGCTCCAACAGAATGCGCGATTTAATTGGGTAGCGGTATGAGGCTCGCTCTTGCATTGGACGAGACGAAGGAAAGGTGAAAGTGATGCCTATCTGCTGGTCTTCTCCTCTACTTACCCCTCTTTCATTCTCTTCCCAATAAGAAGTGAAGATCCTGGAACTTCATTACCTGATCAGACTCACTATCACCTTTATTTCATTTGAGTAAATGGATTTTAAAAACCCCTTATCTGGTCAGCTTTTTAGCATATGAGAAATCGTTGGTGGGAAACAATTTAAGTAACCTTTGCTATATTAGGGCTTTTATGAAATGCAAATTAGACAAACTGAATCCAAAATTTTAATAAAATGTGGTATTTAGGAGCTTTACCTTAGTGTGCCGATTTGTAACCTCAAAATGTAGACCATTGGCACATACAAGCCATCTGACAGGACATGGCATCAACGCAAACGGTCGAGCCAACTATCTGCAAACAAATATGGCAGCACAGTTTCGATAGCATTAACATGCCTGCTGTCATGGTCCTATTGAAAGTGGATCACAGCCCAGATGCTTAATCAATCCACTGTGGCACCAAGTGGCATTATTTTTTAGCTGTATTTTAATTTTTGCTCAAAAACCAAAAGGTTTTTTATTATCTGCAAATGAAAAGTATTGCATCCATCTGTTTATTGTTTTAAATTCAGCTAAGCAGGCATTGTCAAGTCATGGAGACCGCATCCTAGGTAGATAAAAAATAGGTTTAATTTAGTCTCATCAATTCAACTATGTGCGTCGTGAGCAATAAAGTGATTACGGCATATATTTCGACGATGCAGGAAAATACCAAATTGAGTTCCAGAAACTTTGAGGAAGCCATTGGAAAATCCTTCTTTTGTGAGCCGGCAGGGATGCTGACAATCTCTTACATACAGCATTCTATCTCTGCAGACATCCAAAGGAGGAGGGCGGGGTAGTGGGTGGAGGAAGAGGTGAAAAGAGGGGGACAATTGAGTGACAGCAGGTGGTATCTGTGGAAGCTCTGATAGCAGAGGACGGAAGTAGGTCAATTTTATTGTCTGCATAGCCGTATAACCGTGGTTCTTCCCGTTTACTTCCACCTCCCACAAAACCCTTCTGATTGTTTCTTTCATTCTTTCTGATCTACCTTAGGTCCCACACACCCCTATCCTCTGCATGACGGACTCACAAATAGAGTGCAGAACCAAAAAACCCTCGAAATAGGACCGATTTGTTCTTTCTATGGGACCATTTTGACTTCCATGGGCTGATTTGCATAAAATTACCTCAAATTAGTACAAGTGTTCAAAAGAAAAAAGAATAGTTCTTCTACAGATTTGTCTCGAGAAACAATAAAAAAACTGCCAACGATAACATTTACGATGGTTACCCAAATTGATCAGGAAATGATAAAATTAACTCAGCTGACTCATCGTCACTCTTAATCTCTAAAGACAAGTTAAAAACATAGAAATTATAATTCTTATAAAAGTCTATTTTTAAGTCTCTTAAAGAAGCAGTTTTCCGAGCAACTGATCCACCTAAAGTAACCATGATAAATGTAGTCACAGGTAGCTAATTAAACATGTAACTTATAATACACATAAATTACATTAGACTATTCGATGGACAAAAAGCTGAAAAATGGAGACCTAACTATTTCGGCAAAATGCATTATGACAATATATTATGCACGATGATAAGCAGGCTCTTAAAAGTAGTGTCTGAAATGGTATCAAATACAACGATGAAGTTTGGATGCTCCAGCGAAATGCACTACCCTTAGTAAGGGAAAAAGTAAACCTCTTTGGCTAAGTAAAAAGTCAAATCTAAATTTAACACAAATGTTGTATGTGGATACAATGCTCTAGAAGTTTATTTTGAAATATATTAAAAGAGAAAAATTGGACTTACGGGTTGTTCACCAGATGAGTTCGCGGGATAAAAAGCGTGTGGAACTTCCATACAAAGGGTGTTATTGTGGTTTGAACCACTCCCTCCTCCTGCCATGGGAATTCTGCGCCACGCGACCAGTTGAAGCGCGCACGTGCACTCCATCGCTCTTTGTGGTGATTGGCTGTGCAGCGTGTTCGCCAATCAACGACCTCGTTGTGCTGTCATCATCAAGCGCGCTTACTCGATATTGGATATCGGGGTTTTCAAACGCTCACCCGAATCCAAGCGTTTAGATTGGCAGATATGCCTGCATTAGATAAACACGTGTTCCATATCAGATCATCTTACCAGCACATATCTGATTTTTGAAACTAGTAGGCCCACGAGTCACCTAAACCTAACACAACCTTATTGCTATTAATTTTGGCAAATTCTAAACTAAAATATTTAAAATAAGCAACAATTTCATTAATAAGCATTTTACGTTGATCGTTTGATATTGATACGACTACCGAGATATGGACTGATAAGAGATGTGTCCACTTTTACATTAGTAGGCAAATTGGCAGAACATAAATTTAGTTTAATTATTGGACTGCATAAAAGAACAGGGAGAATTAAAGCTACCAGTCTTACAAAGCGTTTGGAATGCCTCTACAACAGTGCTCAGCAAGCGACTATGGGAAGGAGGAATGTAAAATTAATGGAAGCTTACACCTCATGAGCTAGGTGCAATTCAGTGTCATAGCCAATGACCTTTGTGATTTAGATAGTCACTACCCGAAAGACCATGGTCTGCTGTAATTAACACATCAATATCTTTGGAATCTTGAAACCAATTCCCTACATTAATAAGAGCATCCTCTAAGGAACCTGAGTAAGTAAATAAATGTAAAATGACTATGACTAAGTTAGCCATGTGAACTTGCAAACTTTTTATCTAACTAAATGCCAAATCACGATCGAATCTTTTTAGAATGGTATACTCAGCCTATAAGGAGGTCTTTTTAAATCAAGCCTTTTAATAAAAATACTATCTAAATATTTTTAGACAAAGCTGCTTGGTTTACGTGACTGATAAGTGTATAATCAGCTATTCGAATAGCTATTCTGCTCATCGCGGAGAAGTTAAAAATATATTCACACTGCAGAATCAGTAAAGTGATTTTGTGAATTATTAAAATGAGTAAACGTGACAATATGGGGAATGATGGTTAATTGAATGCCCAGGTTTAAACCACAGATGTCTCACGTACCAAGTCGCCAATAGGCTGCTGGGTTTGACAGTCGCTACCCCGGTGCTGTTGATACCCCTCATCTCGGTGCTGTTGATACTGAAGGTGTTGTTGTTTTTTGGTCTCACCAGTGTTGCTTAAACGACCACCGGCCTGTGGCACGCACGAGTCACCCCCTCCCTCGTCAGACAGGCTTGGCGCAACATGCGTGGCGTAGATTCCTGCGGCCACGATGACCCTTGGTAAGCAGACCTCGAAACCGGTTGCATCCATGCTTCAACGGTATTTAGACCTTACTACCTCGCTCCTACTATACAAGTTGTCTGCGTTACGACAGTCGGGACCTTTACATCAACTCGCCTTTAA